TAACGGGTTTTAGGGCTGTGGCTGTGTATGTAAGATTTTCGAGTGACACAACGAGACGAGAGAGAGAGAGAGAGAGAGACGAGTGAGAGGCGGACGGGATGGGATAGGGGGATGGGGGTAACAAAAAAAACGCACGGATTAGGGTGAGAGCACGGTGAGGATGGAGCGTGGTTAGGACGAGAGCACGGTTAGGACGAGAGCACGGTGAGAAGGCAGGGCATGGTGAAGGATAAAAAAGACGCTTGTACCTTGCCTAGCGGCAGATGGGAACGGGAAGGGGGGGGAGGGATATGAGGAGAGTGATCAGCGAGATCTTACTATGCGTGTGAGGTGGGGGCTAGGATGGATGGGGGTTAGAGTGGGACCGGGGGGTGCTTTTTAGGGGGGGTTGAGGCGTTGGGGAGGATGGGGTTAGGATGGTATACACACCGCTTAGTGCGTAACTATGAATGAAAGTGGTGATAATGATGCTGCTGCTTTGTTGCGTGTACCCATGTAGGAGACTAAGGGTTAGCAAGGGGCTCTCAGCCCTATTTTTCCTTTCACCCGCACGGTGTTTTATTTTTTTGGAGTTCGGGGCGATGGTTGCGACATAACGCTTCCTCGCTTGGGGCGTGAGCGTTTTTAACCTTTCCTCCTTTCTGTCTTGTCTCTTTTGAGACTGTTCGTGTTTTGGTGTTGGGGTTCTGTGGGTTTTTTCCCCTCGAATGTGGTTAGGGAAAACTGATTCATGGTTGTAGATCATGAGTCTAGTATAGTCTCCCTTTTTCTGTCTCGGCTTTCGGAAGACCGAAACAGCCGGGTTGGAAAATGGTGCCCCCTTCTCAAGGAAGGTCGGGAACGAAAATCTCCTTGGTTCCAAGGGTACGTGTGAAGCCTTTGTTGCTGCTGCAATACCTGCAATACCAGCAATACCATGTTGATGGATATGATTTTAGCATAGTAAATGCAGCATTGGTGTGTTCATCTTATCGACTTTTTGCTTAGAGTAATATTATAGTAGTGATGATATTCCGTAGTAAAGGTTGGCTTATGTTGGAAGGCTAGGGCTAGCCCTCTCGGTCTTGGTAATCCGCTTTCCCGAGTTGACAGACAGACAGCCCTACAGTAATAGTGCAACTACGCAATCAAATTAACACCACGTACTAATACCTACGTAAATGTTCAAACACACAAACAAGCAATAGTCTACCTCGCAGGAACTCTCAATGTTCTACGCAACTCACACGTCCTGTATAATAATCAAGGCTGTGATCTGGGTTGATGTTATGCGTAATCTATATTCGGCTACGGTGTCGGTGTCCCGAAAGCTTGATTGTCATGTGTACAGATGCTTGCTGTTCATCTCTCCCTATGCCTGTATGTCTGTCTTGCTAGTTTAGTTACAGCCACAAAGACGGGCTCGGAGGCACGTATATGCATAGTCTTCCCGAGGGATTGACATTGATGCATACATGCATACCGGCACGTGAGACCTTTCCATCTTCTTCCTTCTTGCACGGCCTCAAGCGGCCATACGCTCAGCCGTGCGATCCGACTTACGGAAATTTGCAAAGGCGTTGTTGTTCGGCTCTTGTTCAGCGTTGTCTTGATTTTCCGCTTCTCCGCTTTTTCTTGGAACATGCACTGCCTGCTGCGATACGTTGGGAACCAGCCTTGCCAAGCCTCGATACCCAAGACGAATTGTCGTTGCGTTGTTGTTAGTATCGTCGTCGATGTTCGTTGTGCCCAGCTGGCCCCAAGACGACGCACAGAAGTTTCGGTGCCGTGTCCAAGCCACATCTAAGCCCCATCGTCCCCTTCACTTTTTCCCTTCAGTGATCGCGATCGCGATCGCGATCGCGATTTCGAGATTGCATCGATGTCGCATACAATGTCTTAGGTGGGTTTGAATTGCACAAGTCAATAAGGCCGTTGTCCCGCAACGGCTTGATATATACGTCTATCCTTATCTATCCGCACCGTTCCGCCCGCCTGGTTATTCTCTTGCTTTGTGAGTACCCGAGTTAATTACTTGATAGACTTGCGCACGCGGATGTCGACGTACTTCGATACACTCGTACACGTACGTCCCCACACGCGGTCGTTTACCCCTATACACCCTTGGAAGTTACCAAATAGGCACTTTATTACAATACACAGTAGTTGCAAAGTCTTGCTTCCGCTCCCCGCGTAACTTGCCTTTTTTCGAGACAGAGAGATGGTGTTTGGTGTTTTTTGCCACCCCGAAGCTTCGTATCTTTCCCACATGTTTTGCCTTGCGTTTGCCCCACACGCATGGTTGACATCTTCGAGATACAAAGGAGGTGGGGCAGTGCCTCCATGTCGTGTTGCGGTTGCGGTTGCGCATGCACGGTGGCGTGCGGATCGGCGTGGTAGTGAGTCTAGATGTAGTAGTGTATGTGACTGAGGAAAGATGGACGAGGTGTCTAGGGAGGGAGAAAGGGGTTGTTGGGCATAAGTTGGGGGCTGTTGAGTAGATTCGAGGATTGAAGATGTGCAGGTGTGGATCTCGGGATACATGTGTGTATCGTAAGTTCTGGTCGCTCTTGCATGCAGAAAATACTCGGTTGTTCGACTTGATCGGAATTCCGTTTAAGGTATCCTAAAGGTAAATTAGGTCGGTTTGCAAGTGTAGCGATATGTCGCTTTCTTGTGCATACGTTAGAGGCTATTTAGAGTTTCTGTCATTTTTGGAATCTCAGTCGACACTGGAGACTTGAGATACCCTCAGTGACTCTTTTCGTTATCAAAACAATACATGGATGTACATGGCTATCTTTACAGTCATGTGATATTGGATGTGTGTACTACGTGACTAGTTTTCTCGTATGGGGTGTAGTTGTAATATGCGACTTTGGCTTCTTTGCTGAGTGCGGAGGATGAGAGTAGAATATAATTCACTGCCCTCACACGAGGCCGGTATTTCTACTGTTAATTATACTTATTCGCAGAAATACGTTGTGACTTTTGGATGCCTGATTGTTCTTGGATCATTCCTAATAAATATGTTGCTTGATAATTGGATTCATGTTGCAACCACCATCCGTGGGTTTAAGAACCGCAAAACCCACCATTCGCGTTGTTTGCACCATATACTGTTAAACAGCTGTGACAATATCATTGAATCAAAGACTCAAATCTTTGAGTAGACCAATACACATACATCAAGTGTGGATGGTAGTAGTGATTTCTCTTCCAAGTAATTATTACCACTCTTTGCGAAGTGAATACACTCAAACCCACAAACCAACCAATAGTCCCCAAAACCTCCACTCATTTCCTCAACAACTCCGTCTTCCTTCTGTCATTCTCCAGAACCAAAAACACACTAGCAAACCCCTCTCAAGGTGTCTACGTGGAGTGTCTCACCACTTCCATACCACCAACAAACCAACACTGCACATTCCCCCACTCAACTAAAAGAACACCCCCTCCAACACACCAATCACCATAAATACCAATCTCCATTTTAAAAAAAGATCAGACTTACAAACCACGAATAGCCGAGACACTAACGCCTAGACTGGACGCCTGAGCTGAACGCCTGAACTGAACCACAAAAAAAGATAGAGCTTGCTGCCTGACAAAGAAAAAAAATATTCTTTGTGCCCATCTCCACACACAGCCTACCCTCCCGGCTCCACAGAAAGCGCTGGTGGCGTGATGTCTATTTCCCTTTCTATTTCTCATGTCCACTAAGAGCGTGCGCAGTGCGCAGTGCGCATGTGGGTATACAGGTAGTAGTGGTTTTTGGGGGGCTTCCACATCGCCTCAAGGGCTAAGCCCGCGAATTGCGCAATCACTGACTACGTATTTGCTTTTTTATCTCCACACAGGGTTTTTTTTAATTCCCGGGACGGTGTGGGGAGGTGCGTTAGCGAAAGAAAAGAAAAGAGAAAGAATACAGGAGGAGGTGGAAGGACGGAAGCAGTGTAAAACTTAAACCCAGTAGTTTTTCTACGTACGTAGGAAACGGAGTTTGAAGGGGGTTTTCGGAGTCCGCTTTACGAATCCTTTCCTTTCAAGCGATTGGGCTGGAAAAAGAATGATAATGATGATGTGGAGATTTGTGTATGCGTCTTCTCTTCCCTTCTCTTAGACCAATGTCTTCGTTTCCCCTCAGTATTAAACAACACAACCGCCCCATTCCACACGCCCCCTCGCCCCCCTCACCCCCAAGTACGTCGCCCATCACGCCCGAGACACCGGACACCCTCGCAAAACATACCCACGAGGCCCCATGCTTTCCCGCGTTTAGACCTTCTATTCGCTTGACGCTTGTTTGAGATGTGTGCGACGAGGTGAGTCACATGCCGGCATTGCCAGATGAGTAGTACATATGAAGCGGAGGGGGGATGATGTGGCGAGTTGCATATATGTTGTGTAATCGGAGGACAGCGTGCTGGGTTTGGTAGGCGGATATGGGAGGGGGTCGGGATTGTTCGGGTGGGAATAGGTAGGTATAGCAGCAGGTGAATGAAGGATTGGTGGTACAGTATCCGACCTATTACTTCTAGTCTTAGATTTGTCTAAACGGTAGATATATAGCAGGGTTTCCCTGGGGGAAGAAGTTCATATGACATCCATGTGCATTTCACACGGACTGCCTTCCAACTTGTCCTTGCGTCTCTCCACCCGAAATGCATTCTCTAGATCCACACCGACGACGCCTGCGGGCCACTCGATCAAGCCCCAGTTTTCGCGACCGAGAGCCATTGCCACGGCTGTGACGATGTCGGCGCCTAGACCTTCGAGCCACCATACGTTTCGGACTCTGCCGGGTAGAATGGCGTAGTGTGCGAGAATGACGAGTGCATGTGCGTTCTTGGACTCGACGAGGTTGATAAACTCTCGTGGTATGCGAGCCGCCCAGACGAAGATTGCGCCGCGATCCGTAAGGGTGGAGATGGTTTTGTCGTCGATCGAATATGGAACTGCCGACATTGGAGGGAAACGTTCGGGTAGTGTCAGTTGACTAATCAAGTTGAAGCTTTGGCGGAGGTAGAGTAGTGCTTGAGAAAGGTAGACGCAGTGCGGTCCCAATGGTTCTTCTCCATCCATCCATAACTTCTCAATCTCCTGTAGGCGTTTGTCCTCCAAGACTGCACGAGATGTTGCGCAAATATTGTACTCCGGCCACCACTCGCGTGCAGTAACTGGATGCATTTTACTTCCCACCACCCAACTCCATCCTGATAACAGGACTGTTAGGGGACCACGGAGTGCCCATATCGTGCGCAATGCACATGATAGCATCTTGTCGACTATCTCTGGTGACGGTGTGGTCGCATCTGGTGGAATTGAAGCACGGAGGTTCTCAATGTCGATGGCTGATGTGCGAAAAAGATACACAGCGGTGAATGTTGAACTAGCAAAGAGTGCCGCAGCATTGCTCTCTGTGATGTTTTCCAACTCAACCCGGTACTTTGTTAGAGCTTTGTTCATCCGTGCAGCCGCTAGTGTATTCATCTTCTTTTTGGCTTCCTTGTTTTCATGAAGCCGACCAAGATGCAGCGAAGCGACCGACAATACACAATTTGTGAGAAATTCATGGCTATGTGCCATCTCGGGAATGTAAGACTGCCATGCTGCTTTTGCTGGATCATCGTTTGCGAGAGTAAGGGAGGTGGTAAATTCATAGTGACATAGAACCTCTTGCAATGGTGGCGGAAGTAACTCGCGGATATCTTTCCAGGCATCGTACGGACGAAGATACGGTGGTATGCTGATATCGGAAAAGGCTGTGGAATGTAAAGAGAGTTGTGTTTGTAAGGCTGAATGGTCGAGGCCTGAATCTTCGAGTGATATCTCAGTTTGACGGGGCGTTTGTGTCGCAAGCGCTACTTCGTTGCTGAAAGCTGCGAGGTTTGTTGGAGAGTGTACTGGTATCGGTTGAGGCTTTGGAGTTTCAGGTCTAGGCGACGGCGACACGTCTTGCGGATGCTCGGGGCTGGGTGATGTTGAGCTCGTCAGGAGACGCGAAGATGGTACAAGTGCCAAGAAGCTACATTTCTCCCCTTTTTTGTCGCAATTCGCGCACGATGGATGTTTAGTATCACACTGATGAACCGGTCAGTATTAGGACATCCAATACCTTTTCCTCGAAAAGATCCTCTCAGTTCACAGTACTTTTCACCACCGCGCTTGTTTGCGGCTTTCGCGGATAGTTACCAGTATGCGCCTTTTTGCAAACAATTGCCTATACGCTCCAGTACTGCTGTGGCTGTGAGTGTATGAACGCCCACTACATGTGGCGTTGTGCATGTTTGCATATACGCATGTACATGATCTCGCGTGCACTGAGTATATCGGCTTCTTCACACGGAAACATGACAGTACATGATAGTACAAGTACTCACTTTTATCCGTCTCCTTTTGCATTGGTGGCATCCTAACCTTGTCTTGTTGTGTGATCTCCTTGTCGCCATCGGGGTTTGGCGCGAAGCCGAGAGTTATACGGTCAATACGGTAATTGGACTGCTGACGCAAGAAACCACTGTTAGTGTCCGAACAGCAAATGGATGCAGACGCGTTGAGGTCGCAAGTGGCGTGGTAAAAACAATGAGACTGCCGAGTACGCTGTTGAAGCATACAAAGCAAGAATGTTGAATTCATGGGAAAGTGTTTCGTGGGTGTACAGCTGTGACATTTCCCCACACAGCCTGGACCTAACCTTAGCGGGCAGTTTTCGTACTGCGCGCCATATGATTGGTCCAGGCGGACAGCACGACGCCTCGCCGTTCCGGACAAGCTTGCGCATGACGCACAGTTGATCCGCCTCCTTGCCACTCTTCACACATGTGATGCTAGACGCTGTTTCGGTTATCCAGTTTGTTTTTATTCTTGCTTCTGTTACGGGCAGTTTAGTGCCATGCAAATGCATACGTATCTACCAGGCTTGTAATCATGTACAAGGCATAGCCACCTGCCTACTTTATCTCGGCGCAACACTCACCAACAAGCTTGTAGCTCATTTCTTAAAGACAACAGCTGCACTCCAACGACTAGCAGCCTTCGCTCTGTAGTCATCCTTGACTCCCTGCTCGCTCTTCCAGTCATTGAGCAATGTCAGTCCGGCCTTCGCTTCTTCAATCGTGATGGTTGGGAGATCCAGTGTCTTTAGCAGGTCCTGCTCATTTTGGGACTTGGAGCTATTGTCAAGAATGTAACGGACATTATATCCGGATTGGAGATGCAGTGCGCTCTCCAAGTGCTTCTTCAAAAACTTGTCATTGTAAGTGTTGAGGTCAGCATCCGCGGGTGGTGCGGTGAAAGTGGCTTTGATGACCTCCAATGCTTGAGAGGAGAGAGGCTCGACGGGTTTGCTGACTGCTAGCTGTTAGCAACACACTTACATGGTGATGGGTTTGTTGGACATACTGGCTTGGCGGAAGCGCACACTCTGTTCGTGCAGCTTGGGGTTCTCGGGATCAATCTCACGTGCTGCTTGTAGACACTTGAGGGCGAGGAGGTACTTGTCTGATATGCTGTTAGCATAGACCGAGAAGAAAAGGGACAGGAATTACAACATACTTCTCCGGATATAGACCTCGAAGCCCACATTCTGAGCCTTGATGTTCTTCGGCGCCAACTCGAGCATGGGCTGTAGGAACCGTAGGGCATCTTCTAGAGGCTGCTTGGTCTGAAGCAGCTTCTCGCCATTTGGATCGGTATCCTCTTTCTTGGTGTCGCCATCTTCACCCTTGGCTGTTGCCTTTGCAGCTGCAGCTGCTTTCCGCTCTGCCTCAGCCTTCTCAGCCTTTTCCCTCTCCTTCTTTGCCTTCTTCTCAGCCCTTTTGCGCTCTGTGGGATCCAGCTTGTCCAATTCGAGCTCATCTGCATTTGACATCTTCGGGTTGTCTGCTAACCGGACATACAGCTCGACTGCTTGGGTGGCTGCCCTAGTGAAGAATGGATGATCGCGTAGGTGGTCCTCCCATCTGATCATGTCAATATAGGCGCGGATCTGTCCCTTTCGTAGTGAGAAGCTATGGAAATCGAATTGGTCCTCATGCCAGACATCGAAGATGTCCGCGATAGCTGTGAAGCGCTTCAGTGCGAGACCGTACTTCTCTTGTCGCAGATATGCCTCTCCATCTTCAATCAGATACCACATACACTGCATGTCGTGAAGATCACCGAGCGGTCCACCCACAGCCTCATTACGGGTGAACTTGCTCATTGTGTTGAGCGCATTCTCGTTTTCGTTGTTCCGTAGTTGATATTTGGCGCACTTGGTGTTGATGTATCGATCCCTCTCGTCAAGCTCTCGCGCGTGGTTCATCGTTTCCGAAGCTTTCTGGACGTCGCCGGCGTGCTTGTAGATCCGTGCCTTGGTCTGACTATAATCAACCGACTTTGGATCCATCTCAATCAACTTGTCTATATATTCCATGGCTTTGTCGAGATCGCGGCTTAGGACGTAGTTGTAATGCTGGGCGAGGAAGTATAGCACAGACTGTTCGAATCGATCGGTGATGTTGCCATTGCTCTCGTTTTCTGCAGAGCCGTTGGTCTTCTTCTCCGATGCATAGCCAAGCACAAGTTCCTCAATGACTGCCTTCTTTCCCTCGTCACGGTAGAGCGATTTGATGTTTGGGAAAGTTGAAGGTACACCCTTGTTCAGCATCCGTCGGAGGTACTGGTCCACCTGTGTCTTGAATGCCTCACCCTGAAGAAAGTCCAATGGTATGCGTCTTGCAGCATCGTTGCGCTCGTTCTTGCTGGCAAATGATTGATACAGTTCGTTCAGCTTCTCAATATCGGCGTCGTTGGAGCGATCCAGACCCAAGGCCTTCTCTAGCCCCTCGAAGTATGCCCGGTACTCGTTGTTTCTAGTCAACAGGACCCGGTAAGCCTTCTCAGCCTCCTCCTTGCGTCCAAGTTCGAGTAGGTATTTCGCCCTCAGCTCCAATGCGGCGCGTCGATCAAGACTGACCCTAACCACCTCGTCTATGTGTTTCAGGGCACGCTCCACGTCGCCAGATTCGTAGATGACCATGTTCTTGTACAGGGTCGCTTCGGAATGCTCGAGGTCGGATTTAGGCGGAGGCTGCTTCAGCGTCTCCTCGTAGGTCTTGAGAATGTTTTCTGCTTCGGCGAAATTGCCTGCGAGATGGTAAGCCACGGCCAAAGCAGTCCAGTTCTGGCGCAATTGTGGTCGTTCTTGCATCATCTTGCGCCGACTCTCAATGTATCCCTCGTAGTCGCGGACTTGGCATTGGAGGAGGGCGAGGTCGCGGAGGATGTTCAACGAGCCTGGCTCTAACCTCAGAGCCATTTTGTACGACTTGATGGCCTCAGGGTAGTTCTTGACCGAGCGCCACAGTAAACCGTAGACGTGCCAGCAGATGTGCGACTTCATGTCATTTCGGAGGGCTTCTTTGCAGAGGGCGAAGGCTTCATCACCCTGGTTTATGGAATTGAGGATCAGGGCCTTCATCGCTTGGGTGTCGCCATGGGTGGGGTGCTTCTTCAAGATCTGCTCAGCAGCCTTGAGGCCTGGCGGGGTTAGCAATGCCATACGTTGCCCTTGCACTGCAGCCTACCCTTCTTGTATAGCTTGCCCTCATAGTACTTGACAAGCGAACGGAAGAGCGTCTGCTCCTTGCTGGGCAATGGCTGCGGCATGGTGACGGTCGTGTGAGGTGTGCGCGGAGCGTTGTTGATAGTCGACCGGCGAAGAGCTTCCGTTCGGAATTAAGAAATGGATTCGATTCAACCTCGCGACCAGGCCGGAGGAGGTTAGGTGGGGATTCGAGATGTTTAATCAATACAATGTGTCATGGCGACACGGCCCCTTCGGCAAGCAACTGTGGCACTGTGGCTGGCCTGCGCTACGTGAGAATGTGGGGAGCTCTGAAATTCAATGTCGGAGTGTTCGATTCGACCACTAGCGCACCTCGACTTTGAATTGCACGTGCGCGTCCTGACACCCCGCTTACACGCCCTCTTACAGCAGCCATTTCGATGTGCATCTTGAACCTTGGTAGTAGGTTTACAATCATTCAGAAAACAAAATCTCTTCCGCTATCTTACAATTGAACTGTACAAAACAATATTCCAATATACCGTATTCGCCCTTACCTGGACAAGCGTCCTGACCGCCGCTTTCCTGTTGTATCTTCACTCGGTTTCTCCTCTTTGGCGGGAACCTTCATCTTCTTTGATGTGCCATTGGCAGTCGTCTTTCGCTTCTTGGCGGGCTGTTCCTCCTCAATTTCACCAACAGTCTCTGCTTCAGTCTCCTCTTTGACTTGTTCTTTGACCTTCTTGCTAGTACGCTTCGGTTTTGCTGGTGCTTCTTCAGAAGCATCTTTTGTCTCTTCTTTAACCTCCTTCACAGTCTTACGTCCGCCTTTAGCCTTAGCAGGTGCCTTCTCCTCAACTTCCTCATCTTCCTCCTTAACTGCTTGAGCCTTCCTCTTGTTGCTCTTCTTAGGCTTCGTATCCGCTTCACTGTCTTCAGCCTCTGCGTTGTCGGAAACGTCACCAGCAACAGCTGCTGTCTTCTTCTGAACACTCGGAACGATGGCAGAAGTCCGACCACCGACCTTGAGGAATGTAATCTTCTCGCCGGTCGGTAGTTTGCTTGCCTCTTTCTTGCCTTTTCCCCAACGATGCTTCATGAGCCAGTCTTGAGGAAAACTGTCCGAATCTCCATTGGCTTGCACGGCCGTGTCACAGACGTACATCATCGCGTCATATAGACGCTTCACTTGTTCGTCGCTGAAGGTGTTGCTATACTGCTCTGGGTGCAGTTTGGCTTGAAACATGATCTCGTCGCTGTTTATGTTAGTGGTGCTCCATATCTACTTTGCGACCAACATACCCAACCCAGTTCCCTATGCCTGAGATGTTGGCTATGTAAGGTCAGAAGTGCGTTATTTCAATGATATGGTGAGGAGATACGAACCTTGATCCAACAGTAGAGCTTTCACAGGCACTCTCTTACTCTTCAGCTTCTTACCCAGCCATTCAACGGTCAAGATGTCTTTGTCAATAACTGGGTCGGGGCCGTTCTCTTTCAGTGGAGTCGTCTTCCTCATATCTTCCGCAGCAGCATCTACCAGTCTTATTCGAGCCAGTCGTCTTGCGTCAACGAAGGCAACCTCGTTTTTGGGTTCTCCTTGCAACTGCAAAATGAACTTCCAGTACTTGGGTGGCCACTCTGCTTCCTCGGGTTTGGTTGGGCGGTAGTATGCTGTTTCGTCGTTGCTGAACTTCATCCAGCCAGACATGCCAAAATGCATCAGGGGGTGCGGTGCCGTGTCCATGACCAGCCAGAAGTACTTGCCCTGCTGGCGTGCATCTAGAATTTTCTTGCCGGACATGGCTTTTTGAAAGGCTGCTGCAGAGGTTCCAACCTTTCCGTAGACAATCTGGATGAGGCCATTAGATGCTTTCGTACAGATGAGACGGCACCAAGCGCACATTGTCTTCCTGGGTTTTCACCGCTTGTATAGTCTTTCCGACAGCATGTTTCTTCAAGAAATGCACAATGCGTGCCACTTCTGCAATCTGATCAATGTTAGCAGGTGTAATACGCGTGCAACAAGAACGCGTCCCTACCTCAGGCATCTTGACAGTTAGATAGGGTCTTCTTGCGCTGAACAATATGTTGTGATGAGATCCACAATAACACCGATATGATGAGTTACACGACCTACTGAGGACGTGATTGGGAGTTGCGCTGAGCGGTACCTTGGATGGCGAGGGTGGAGGCTTCGCGTAACACGCGAAGGCGCGTCGTCACGGGACGAGCATGCATCACGTCATTACTCTCAATTCCGTCTCGCCTTGCCGTGAGAACGACCCTTGTTGCTCTCCACCTTCACATCTCCCGTCTGTCTTTCCATGCAAGCCCCAGACATCAGGCCAAGGTAGTTCCATTCTCTCTGGGCGACTACGGATGGACTTTCCTTTCTGGGCTGCCCCGCTACGCCGTTGGCAACATGACCAGGACTGACGATAACGCGATTTTACATAATTGTCCGCCCTAGACGCCAGTCTACGGGTATTTGAACTTGACTGCTGCACTGTTTTGTCCCGAGATACTGCAATGCACTGATCATGAGGTGGAACTGGATCACTCCGTTTGCCTATGCGGCCCATGTCTCCGCGCATGGAGCCCACCACGCTGAAGGAAAGAGTTCGTTCTCTCAAGAGCGGCTAGACGAGCTTGAGAAGAAGTGGGGTACAGATGTAAGCATTCAATGTGATGGTGCTTGAATACAACTGACAGTCGCTTAGTGGGGCTTTTCCGGTATCTCGACCTTTGCCCACCTGCCACACACTCGCTGCTTGACTACCCCCGAGACGACTTATGATATCGCCATCCTTGGTGCGCCCTTCGATACCGCAGTATCATACCGACCTGGTGCTCGATTCGGACCTCGAGCCATTCGTGCTGGCTCTTCTCGCCAGACGTCGTTCCGTGGCTTCAATCCACGCGCGGGGTTCAATCCATACACATCATGGGCCAAGATTGTGGATTGCGGAGATATACCAATCACACCTTTTGACAATGCCCTGGCACTGCGGCAGATGAGTGAAGCTTTTCAGGAGCTGGCAAACAGGCCATCGACCGAGAAGAGCACTGAGAGTGGGGTGTCATACTTCAAGAAGCCCAAGCTGCTTACGTTTGGTGGAGACCACAGCATTGCACTGCCGGCTTTGAGGGCATTGAAGAACTTGTACAAGCAGCCAATCGCTGTTGTACATTTTGACGCCCACCTGGACACTTGGCACCCAGGTTCGTGATTCCAACAGTTTCAACATGGCCAAAAATTGTTAACTCAGTGGGAATATAGCAAAATATCCAAGTGCATGGCTAGACCCCGAGGATCTGTCCACGCAATCCTTCTTCAACCACGGCAGCATGTTTTGGTACGCTGCGACCGAGGGTTTGATCGCAAACGGCTCGAGTGTGCATGCGGGTCTCAGGACGCGACTGTCAGGCGACGACGATGCCGACCACGTCGACGATTCACAGCAAGGTTGGCAACGCATTGCCACTGATGATATTGACGATATTGGAGTCAAGGGAGTGATTGCATCCATCATGGACCGTGTCGGCACTGAGATGCCCGTCTACCTCAGTATTGACATTGATGTGATTGACCCCGGGCTAGCGCCAGGCACGGGTACTCCGGAGCCTGGTGGCTGGACCACTCGGGAAGTGATTCGAATTCTGCGAGGTATCCAGGATATGAACGTGGTTGGGGCAGACATTGTTGAAGTCAGTCCTGCATATGACGGCTCGGCGGAGACGACGGGCTTAGTTGCAGCACAGGTTGCTTACGAGGTATTGACGAACATGGTCCACAAAGGTCTTGTTGAACAAGCGAAGACAGGTGCAGCTTCCAAGGACAAGGACGAGCTATGAGGTTTTCACGAATTTGGCTAGATGATAGCTAGAGTAGGTCGTAGACGTTCTACTGATGATATACGATGTATGAGTTCAATTTGAAAATGTAACGCATGTAGGATGCACACATGTTCTTCGTACATGACTCTTCTAAGCGATCAAGACTAGAGGTTTCTCCGTCAATGTCGTAGTAGCCACCGTAGCCGACATCGCATTTCCGATTCGCGCTACAAGCGAGACTACCTAGCCTACTTTGAACGTCATGTCACCTATTGAAGTAGTAGTTATTTCTTCTGTAATTGCATTGAGTAAAATATACACGCTCTGGTCAAGAGGGATAAGTGTGTGGCATCCATTGTGAGACATTTCCCATTCAGCAACCGACCAAATCGGTTGAACAGGCTTCCACATCACGTGCGAACATTCTGCCTAGGATTTTTGCTACCAATAAGCAACGGGATAACACGAACACCTCACTTGGCTGATAGAAGCTGGAAGCGGAGCTGGTCTCTTCCATGATTTGTGATTGCGTCAATCTCAGCTGGCTTCATCTACCCTAATTGCCCCGCCAAACTGGCTGAAAAAATGGTCTTTGGCAATCGTGGTTTTCTGGGTAGCTTGATATGTGTTTACTGTATGCGTGCTAGTCGTGCTTCTGGTCAAGTGAGAGCATCATATTCTTGCCTCGTATACGCGTGGGAGTATCTGATGCTGCTGCATATCATCACTCTCTTCTACATCTACTCATTATGAATATTTCTCAAAACGATAAGAGCGATATATCATATCTGCAACTCATTGCACCGCCCAAGTGCGCAAACTACACTACACAACCATGCATGCATAGAGCTCTACCGGCCCCCTTGACCCCCAATCCATCCACATTGCCAATTGCCCGCACGCTCCAGGCAGCACCGCAAATTTCCCCACTTTACCTCACTGCTGCCTACCCAACCTGACGTCAAAAGCAAACGAGAGCCGGGGAGCTATGACCGCAGGCAGGCAGGCAGCAAAATCACGTGCCACACTAAACTAGTGGCTCCCCCCGTCTATAAAAACCTGCCCTCCCCCCTCTCCTTTGCAAAACCAGCTCTCGTAAGTTTTTCCTCTCTTACCCCCTACTATCACCTTTTTCCAGCATATGCTAATGATGCTCCCAGTTTGCCTTTTGGCTTAGATCAAGTGTAGTATCTGTTCTTTTCAGTTTAATCTCTGAAATGCCATTACGATGGCTTTCCGATTATGCTTATTTTTGTCACTAGTGGATGGCTCACTGGGCTTGCTCATAGTCATCCTCACAGTGTCACCTCTATAGCACTATCGGAGGTTGACGCGAATCTTTTTCATTAAGACTTCTGGATAGCTCCAGTTGCTTGAGGAAGAAGTTTGCTACCGTAGATTCAATGCATGTAACAGCGTACATTCAATACATGCCGATACACAACATCACACATTCCTAAGCTTCTCCTACCTGCATATACCTGCGCCTCACGGTTTGAAACGTATACAGTGCAGCTTGGAGCAAGCCGTCGCATATTGCCACTTCATATCCATCTAATAAGCACATAATCACTAGTTTTGTGAACATTCATCATCCCTCTTATACCATCCACCTGCCAATGTCTTATTCGCCGCTCTCATTCCATCCGCCAGCATCCAAGTAATATTCCTCTTTCCCTGCTTCTCCAGCCTCTTAGCCCATAGATCAGGTGTATCGGCGATGATCCAGTTGTAACCTTGCTCCATGATCCAGTTAAAGTCAGATCGGTAGTCGTGCCCATCAACTGAGACACCTTTACCCAGCAGGCTGTCCATCAGACGCGGGGCTTTATTATCTTTGAATGTGTAAACCGAGTTGTTGCGGTGCTCGTTATCAGGGAAAGTATAGTTTGCTCTGTCGACATCTATGGATTCTGGGGCAAAAATGTCGCCAGGAGCGTACAAGGTACCTGTAGTTTTGACGTTAATGTTGGTGGACTGGCTGCTCTTGACGTAATCGACAAGGTCCTGGAGTACGCCATCTGTCGATCGTAGTTCGATTTCGGCGCTGATAGTGTAGTTGGTCTGCGAGAATGCTTTCAGTGAGGCAAGAGTATCCATTCCTTTTTGCATAGATGGATCATAGACAGGAATGAAGGCAAGTTGAATACCGTTTAAAAATGCATCTTGCACCCATGCAAGAGCCTCAAACTCTTCAGGTGTTTTGTACCATTGTGATGCTGGTAATCTGTTGAATTTCTAGTATATCTAGACTTACTATTGCTTGCAGCTTGTAAATTGCACCACTTGTTGGCAGGTACACCGGCAGCGTTCTCCAGCGTCTTCAAAGGTTGAAATTCTCAACTTTGGGATCGTAGCCCTTTCCAGTATAAGGGTTATAAGCTTCTTTCCCAGCTTGCTCGCCGACGTCGGTCACACGACCTAAGCCGCTATCGTGGACCATCGGAATGAAGTAATCCTTGGAGAGGCGCATATCAGTTTCAATGCATTCGATGCCGGCTTCTGTTGCTCTCCAGTAGGCATCGACGGAGTTTTCAGCTGTCCCGTTCCATCTACAGAACGGTTAAAACTTGGCAAATTACTTTCTCTTCCATGTCCTACCTCAATCCGCGATGCGCACAAAGAATAGTCAAGTCATCGTGGGGCTCCCTGAAGGGCTTTGATAATTTTCCTCACGTCGTACGGCTGACGCGCAGCGAGAGTGGCACCAACATGGAGGCTTACTAGCCCGAGAGACGCAAAGCAATTAACCATGTCTCACGAGTGATTCGTTGACAGAGACGTATACGACAGTGATGTTCTTAGGTCAGTTATATACTCCTCGCCAGGTGGTATGAGCATCGTTAGATTGTTGTTGCTTGCATCACACCGTTCCTCCTAGTCCATACCCATAGTTGATATGACTAGCTTCATTTGTTGAGAAAGCTTGTCGATACAGAACCATCTTAGCACAATGTGCCGTGCGCTTCTTTGTGATCACAGAGCATACCCTTTGGTTTTGGCAGCTCGGAAGGCCGGATATACGTCGGTACCTAGTGGATTCCGAGCCGATGAATATGTGGATCTCGGGGAAATGCGTAGAACACGTGGAGGCGCTCTTAATGCTACTATTTGGCGCACACAAATGACAAAGTGGACAAGGGTTGAAAGCCTTTTCCCCGCAATCATAGATCCGAATGATGGCAGTGGAATCGTTTGGATGGAACGTAGTGAACGAAGTTCTCCCATTACTATTCTCTGTCTAATTTTCGCGCCAAGTTGCCCACCAATCTTTGCATGAAGCGATCATTCACAGAAGAATGCGGGCTAATTTGGAGTTTGGTAATAGACAATGTACTTGTGCTAATTGGCATCAAGTTGTTGAGATGGCTTTCATCATTCCGTCCCTAATACACCCCACCCCTTGCCCACAACGACAAATTGTCCCTCTATGAATCCCACTCTTTGAAAATTCCAACTCACCCAAAGAAATCACTACTATGCACCCATCGCACTCCCCCGGTCCACACTTCACTATCCTCATACCAAACCGCATCGTTCCCTGGCGCCAAATCAATCACAACACGTAAATCTTTCCCTCCTCCTCTTACCCCTCTTCCCCCCTCCCCCAAAACCCACCTCTCCACACGCTGCGCATCCTCCAAACGCGTGCCCAGCGCTTCGATGCGAAGCCTCGTCAATGCCGTATTAGCACCCACGAGGGGCGCGAGGAGTGGTTCGTAGAGGCTTTGATCGCGCATGATGGCTGAGGAGAGGGGGAGGGTAAGAGATTCGAGGCAAGGGGATAGGGCAGATAGAGCGTGGATGTAGGTTTGATTCGTAAGGAAAGGGACTGGACTCGAGGTAGAGGTAGAGTGGGAAGTAGAGGGAGGGGAAGAGGCAGAGTAAGATAGGCGTGTTGTAAGCGTTACATCGACGATACGCAACACCGTCGCACTCGCAATCGCGTTAGGCAAGAGGCGGAGAAAATCCACTGCACGAGGGGCGCGCAGGTGCGTGAGGAGCATGAGTGCGCTGTGGTGCAGTTCCGCGAGTGCTTCGGCGCGGTATTGTTTGTTGAGATTAAAATGGTTAGGAAGGTGAGTGGCAAGGGAAGATAACCAGGTGGTTAGACCTGGGTCAACGGGTAGTAATTCGTCGTTGGCGCCGTGGCTCGTCTCGTCTTCTGACGCTGTCGTGCTGCCGACAAGGGTAAGACGCGGTACCTTGTCGATTGCGTAAAAGTAGATTTTATTGCGCAGCTCGAGAGGGAGGGTGGAGAAGCTGGCGGTGATGATGGTGGTGGGTGTAGTTCGTGCTGCTGCTGCTGCTGCGTGTATAGTCCAAGATTTCCATGTTTTCTCGTGAACAGCGGGCGGGACGATCCACTATTAAATTAAATCGAATGCGTAAGCTTCAAAGTCTGATTCTTGTTGTTGAGAAGAGAGGAGGAAAAGAGACTACGCACGTCAGACCACTTTGGCCCAGAAGGAGCAGGTTTATGAACAACTTTCTTGAGGCGAGGCATGGCGGGTTTTGCTTGGACATACAGCACACACTCACTCACTATAGCGTAGTGTCGCGCGAGAAACTTTATGCACGATGAGATTCATTCTTTTGTTATATAGGTAGATATGGCGCAGCATAACTGTGTAGGATTCTCCAAAGCATGTCTGTGGTTAGAAGCGAGGCTTGTTGCGTGGCGCAGCATGATTGCCTAAGATTCCCAACGTCTTATATACAGTTAGCCCCGAGGCTTATCATGTGGCGCAGCATCCTCATCCCACAACGTGCCTTAGCTGGCTTGGAGGCTGTTTGAGAGGTTTTCGCCAGATCAATGCCTGTCTAGTCGCAGGTTTCAGTCTCTGAGCCTGCGCTTGCCGCATTGTCATGGATCCTGCCATGTTTTGCTGAATATAATACAGACTATCTTGTTGCTGATTCTCGATGCCACTACGCACATGGATAGACTAATATCGAGGCACTCATACCACTTGCAACCGTACTTGAGTACAGAGCCTGCAACAGATTGGCAGCTTCGCTGTCGTTGATACAGGTGCTGAATCGTTCGAGTCCCATATTGTCGAATATGCCGACAACACAAGTCCTGCAAGTGTATCCAAGATAAACCAATCTAGCATTGTCTTGACCCTCATCGCCATCATCTACGGCAGCTCTTGCCTCGTGGTGCACCGTGACTTCTGACTACTAGGTACCACTATCTTACTAGCAATCTCGCAAGCCAAAAGTCTTTCTCATAACAATCTTTGGCATGGTTCGCTGACGCTGTCGTGGCCCATCTGCGCTCAACCAATAATTCAGAACGGAAGGACTGACCTACGAAAAAATAATGGTATTAGCTTGTTTGGACCCTAATATCTAGCAGTTATATCAAGTGGTTCGATCTATAATTGCGGGATGTAGCGGGCTGGCGTTCAAAATTTCTCACGAATAAAGGTTTAACTATACTATATATATATATTGAGTATTTCTCGTTGGTCCGGGGGAGGGGAAGGGAGGGGGGGGGGGTAATAAACATAAGTAAAGCTTATATACGATGATAGAATTAATGGGAGAAGGAGGGGTGTACTTGT